GACTAACAGCACAATGACCCTGAGGGTATGGCTTGGACTGTGGCTCCAAAAGATATGTCCGCATCCTAACCCCAGAACCTGTGAATGGGATCTTATTTGGGGAAAGGGTCTTTGCTGAGGAAATTTATTTAAGGAACTTAAGAGGACAACATCTGAAATCAGGGCAGACCCCAAATCCAATGACAAGTGTCTTTAAAAGAGAAGAAAAGGGAGCAGACACAGACCCAGGAGGAGCAAGGCCTGCCAACACCTTGACCTTGAATTCTTGGCCTCTGGGACTGTAAGAGACTCAATCTATGTTGTTTTAAGTCCCAAATTTTGTTAATTTCTTATGGCAGTCCCAGAAAACTCCTACAGGGTAACATTCCGAGTAACATTGGAATGAAAACAGCAATCAAACTGTTAACCGAAAGACCTAGGCTCTGTCTGAGACATCTCTGCCTGAGCAGCTTGGGCAAGTCACTTGGTCTTTCTGGGCTATTTTCCTCAGCAGCCCATGAGGATGATCAGAGAGGCCTCTGCCCATTCTGAGGTTCTCAGAGTCCCTTTCATGGTCCTATGAGGGCTGTGGTGGCCCTGTGCCATGAGCTGAAGTTTGTCCTCCCCAGGTAATGTAGCTGCCAGGGCTCAGCACATGGCCACCTTCCATCCAGCAGCTGCCACCAGGCCCTGGGCTCAAACTTATTAGAAAGGACACTCGAATAGAGTGACCTCATGTTGCTCCTTTTCATGGGAAACCAAGCCAAAAGTATCCCAGCACTTCACACAGGGAAGACCAGGTCCCGCAGGAGGAAGGTGTCAGTCACGGTCTAGTCATCTCTGGATTTGGGGGCCACGGGTGGGGCTTTGCTGAGCACTGGCTGGGAAGGAGGCAAAGCCCCTCTTCCTCCTCATCATCACAGGCACGCTTGGCAAGGGGAGAGTTTTAAGCTCAAACAGTGTCACTTAGAAACAGTGGCCCTCTTTGCTCACCCCCACCCCCTTAGCCATCATCCTCAAGGCAGGCATTTGGAAGGCCTCTGGCCAATGGCACTGGTCCCTCGAGATGAGATTTATTATTACTGGCTCAGCAAAGAGGATGCAGGGGCTCAGGTCGGAGGAGCAACTACTGTCCTTGGTTAACCTCTGAGTCCTTGGATGGTTTGTGAAGACTGGCCTTGGCAGCATGTCACACAAAGGTGCTCTGCTAGCCTTGGCAAGGAGATGGGAGGCTGAGTTAGCTGCAGGTCAAGCAGAGCCTGGGAGCAGCGAGAAGTTAAAGGGAGTGTGCGGTGTGGTTATCAGGGCCCCTCTTTGCATTGTTCATGCATCTTCTGCGTCATCGGCTACTCCTGAGAAGGATCGTGGGAATAGTTACAAAGGAAGAACCCGAGAAATAAAGACCTGAAGGTTTCTTGAATGGTCTGAGGTGACATGCCTCAACCACCTGCTGTTAGTAATAAAGAACCAGCTCTCAGGCTGGGCATATAGCTCGGTTGGTAGAGTGCCTGCTTTGCATGCACAAGTCCCTGAGTTCAATCCCCAGCACCCCCCCCCCCCCACACAACACAAAAAAAAAAAAAAAAAAAAAAGGAAGAAGAAACAGCTCTCGATGGGACAAATTCCTTGGATACACTTTGTGTCATTAAAACAACACTTTTTTGGGGGTACTGGGCATTGAACTCAGGGGCACTCAACCACTGAGACACATCCTCAGGCCTATTTTGTATTTTGTTTAGAGACAGGGTCTCACTGAATTGCTTAGCGCCTCACTTTTGCTGAGGCTGGCTTTGCACTCATGATCCTCCTGCCTCAGCCTCCCAAGCCACTGGGGATCACAACCATGCACCACTGCACCCAGCAAAACAACACTTATTGATTACTCACTATGAACTACCATGCCAAGCCCTTTCCATGGACCATCTCCTTAGTCCTCACAAAAACTATCTGAAGAACATGTTCTTCTTACCAACCCCATTTTACTATGTAGGAAACTGAGGCACAGGGACAGGAAATCACCTACTCAGGTGCTACAGTTTGGATCTTAAGTGGTTCCCAAACATCTGCCTGTTGAAGGCTTGGTCCCAGACCAGGGGAGGTGGTAGAACTTTAGGAGGTAGAGCCAGGTGAAAAGAAGTTAGGTCACTGGAGACACGCACTTGAAGGGGATCTTGGGGCCCTGGCCCCTTCCCCACTGTGCTTCCTGGCCAGCACAAGGTGAAGGGGCCTCTTCCACATGCTGCCTCCGTGATCCACTGTGCAGACACCTAACCAAAGTAACAGAGACAAGTGACATGGACTCACACCTTTGCAATCGTGAGTCAAAATGAACATTTTTTTCCTTTTATGTTGTTTATATAAGACACTTGTCCCAACACTGGAAATGTATCACACCAAGGTCTTCCTGCTAAAAAGCAGACTCAGGATCTGAAGTCAGCCAGCCTGTCCTGAGCCTGCCCAGGCATGCTAACTCCATATCAGAATTGATAAGTTAAAAAAAATCATCATTTACTAACTCTGGCAGCTTCCTAAACTTTCCAATAGGAAATGAAAATGGCTATTAGAGTTAGTTTATTTTTACACAACTAAATAGTCAAGTGATCACAGAGCAGCAGAAATGTCTTTATGTATTGTTCACAGAAAGAAGTATTCACGGCCTGGCCTCCTTGGATCCAGTTTTTCTTTGCTTTGAATCCTGAAAAACAAAAGGAAAATCCTCAGTTTGGGTCATTTCCTTCTTGGAGTGAAGTCAAGACCCATGGGCAAGTTATTAAAAGCATATTTTACAATTATATATCCATTGGACATGTCATAAATGTTTGGATTGGTTTCCCCATAATCAGTACTTATAAGATTTGCTTTGCTGTGTCTAATTAGGCTATTAAGTCTGTAGAAGTTCTGCAGCCTCAGGGAATACCTTCTGCTCACGTTTGTTGGGTCATTCTGTCTCCTAGCATAGGGACAGCAGCATCAGGCCTCTGGGGCTGCCTGCTGCGGTCCTGAGGCTGGTCGCAGCCCAGGAGGGCTGCAAGGCAGCCTCAGTACAAGGCCCACATGTTCACCACGTCCTTGGGGGAGACAGGAGTCCTAGAGTGGCCCTGATGCAGGCCAAGGACTCTGCCTAGATTTAAATTCTGGGTCTCAGGGCTCCAGTGAATAGAGGGAACAGCCTTGCCTGGCTGTTCAGAAAGGACCCGGCCATAGGGAGCCTGGGGCCCTCCAGGGGCTCCTTGGTGCACCCCTGGAGCACCAAGCACCAGGCATGAAGTGAAGGCTGTAATGGTGGCTGAAGAGCCCCTCCTGCCAGGCTGCACTGGGGGCTCCATGATGCTGGGAAGAGGGAGGGGGCAGAGTCCTTGCTTTGGACAATGTCGTGTCTGGGGCCCCCCAGCCCCCCCCCACACACACATCACATTTGGTGTGAAGAGAACAGCTGCAGGGAGGCTGACCTTGGACCACCTACTGAGCCTCGTCTTCAAGGTTTCTTCCATTCCTTGACTGCAGGGGAAAAAAAGCAAAGGATCCATTTACAGACACTGAGATGCAACTGTTGGTGCTGGTGTTTTGGTTCAATCCTCTCTCTATTGAGCCCAGAGGACTTACTTGCTCTTCTCCTTGGGATTTTACTCCCTGACCTTGGACTCACCTGGTTAGCCCTCCTAGGTCCTCTAGAGCAGCATACAGGACTCTTGCTGTCCCTAGAACCCTGACATTATCCTCTACTACCCTCCCCCCATAGCCTTTGCTCATAGGGTGGGAGGACCCCCAAACCACAAACAGGTCTTCTCAGCCTGGAGAGACCATGGAGATCTACCACTCCTCAAAGCTCTTCCAGAGAACAGTGTACTAAGAGATCACCCAAACCAAAAAAAAAAGCATGCATGGGGTTGAAATGGAGAGGGGAGTGGGTGGGAGGAGCTGCCTCGGTCAAATAAGTTAGGGAAAGAGGTGGTTCCCTGGGGCCTCTGAGAACCCTTAATGAGCTGGGGCATTGCAGATCTTGATCAATGTCGAATGCAGCAGCTTCCAGGCTTGGATTTTGCAGGGCACCTCTTAGCACCCATGACTCACAGAGCGGATCTAGTGGGATTTGCTTACAATCTGACATGAACACTGAGGACCTAGGGGGTAGCACACAGTGGTGAATGGCGAATCAAAAACTAAGACTCTGGGACCTTTGCAAGAGCCTCTGTGTCACCTGGGAAGGAAGAGGGACAAGTGTCTGGCCTCCCTGTTCCTGTGTGTTTTAGGGGCCACATGTCCTGGACACTACTACTCAGGAATATGGACCCTGGTTTGCCCATGACTGTCCATCAAGAGAACCTCTCTCCCCACTTCCCAGACTCCAGGAACTCTGGTTTTCCCCACCTATGTCCAGTTGGTCCTTTCCAAGTTGGTAGGAGATTTTGACTGAGATACACCCTAAATGTGGGAAGCCATCCGTGATATAGGACCTCTTTCAGCATCGTAGCCAGTGACGGGGTAGATCTGGTATTGGGGACTTCCCATGGCAATCCCACCAGGATAGATCACCCAAACGCAAGTGAACTTCCCCTCAGTTCTGCTTCGAGGTCTCATGCAGATGGGCATGACCTGCTAGGAACTGAGCAGCCTACCTGCCCCCGCCTTTGTCTTGTTTTGGTGAAGAACTTCCTGTAGAAAGCCTTTGATGTGTTCTGATATAAATAGAGCAAAAACAGGCCCCTTTCTTTCTTAGAAACTGGACCTGTCTGGTCAGCTTTGCCTATTGCTGCCCCCTCTTTGAAACTACTTTCTGTGTTCTGTGGTTATTTCGTTGTGCTACTTTCCTTAGCTGTTATTGCTCAGCCAGCCCAACCTACCCAAGGGAAACTCTTTCCCTCACCCACACAGGACGTGGGCAATACCTAAATTCAGAAAAGAGAGTTCCCACAACTATACACCAGCTCACCACAGGATCAAGGCCATGCCTGCCTTGGTGTAACACCAAAAGAGGGATGGCTACAGTGGATGGGGTTAGAAGACAGAAGTGAGAAAGTCTTTTATACCCTGAAAAGGAAAAATGGCCGTCCCAAGGTGGCAATGGGATCCTGCAACACAAAACATAAACTGTTATGCAGCCACATTGCATCAAAGGTCCATCAAATACGTTTATGGAGACCGTTCCTAAAAGAATGGTCCCAGACCAACAGCATAGTGACACCTGGAAATGCAAATCCTCAGACCCAACCCCAGACCTACTGACTCTGTGGGGTGGGGCCCAGCCATCTATATTTCAACCAGGTGAATCTGGTGCAAGGTCAAGGTTGAAATCACTGACTACCTCTCCCCAAGTGTGCACAATGTCACATGGGTCGATGAGCCAGAGAGCAGATCTCCAAGGGCAGATGGCCCCATGTGATTCTTTGCAGGACTGGAGATGACATAATCGCAGCCAGAGGCATTTTCCCTGTCTCCCTGGGATTCCTTTCTGCCCCAGGCCGGACCCAAGGAAACCCCAACATCAGTGCCCAGGGAATTATTTTCAGGGTAACTACCATGAGATCATTCTTCCCAGAAAGTTCTAGAAGGGCTTTTGGCTCTAAGCATTTCCCTGTCCCTCTCTCTGGAGTCTTTGGGGGCTGTGTTGTCTCCAGGGCTCATGTACCTTCTTGGTAAAGTCCACGGAGGCAACCCCAAGATCCTGCAGGGAAAGGAGGCATTAGTTAATTCCCCAGGAGCCTCGTCCACGACCTGCAGCTGTCTGGCTGTGAGCCTGCTCCTCCCTGGTCCCATTCCAAGGTAGTCGGAAGACAGGTACAAAAAAGCAGCTGGAGGGAATGGCTAACATTGTGGCCAAATGCGAGTTCCTGCTCAGGAAGCCAAGCTTGTTTACTTGATTTGAGTTACCTTTTCTGTCCAGGTGTGTTTAATTTTCTTGCACCTTCTAAAAATTCCAAATATGAAATGGATCCCTGGGTTTAGACCAAAAACAAAAAATGTTTTATGGCACTAGAGATTGAACCCAGGGACTCTTTACCACTGAGCTACATCCCCAGCCCTTTTTATTTTGGGACAGGCTCTCATTAAGTTGCTGAGGCTGGCCTCAAATTTGCAATCTTCCCACGTGGTCTCAGCCTCCGAGGACATGGTACAGGAGTGCACCATGGCACCCTGCCAAGTTTAGGCAGATTTTCAATGACAACCCATTTCAGCATCTTCAGCTTGCTCTATGCCTACGAGCCTGGTGCAAGGGCTGAGACAGAGAAGACCTTAGAGCTTGCATGTGGTCAGCAGGGGAAGAGATCAACTGTTCCTGTGCTTAAGATGAACAACCAGGATAAGCCCAGCATGATTGGCACATGCCTGTCATCCCAGCAACTCGGGAGGCTGAGGCAGGAGGATAATGCATTCAAAGTCAGCCTCAGCAACTGTCTCAAAATACAATTAAAAAGAAAAACGGATTGGGGATATGGCTCAGTGATTAAGCACCCCTGGGTTCAATCTCCCTGGTATAAATAAATAAATAAGAAAGAGTGTGGTTGTAGCTCAGGGATAGATCACCCTTGGATCCATTCCCAGTTCTGACGGAAAAGAAAAGAAGAAAAGAACAACCAGGTTTTTAGGAACTAAGCAGTTTCCTGGGAGGAGGGGAGATCTTGGGACTTTTAAGGTAAAACCTGGAAAGTTCTGGGTAAATTAAAGTGAGCTGGTGACCCTACCTGGACTCAGGGTATCCAAAAGAAATTTTAATCAATTTTTCCTACCATGCAGCAAAACCTTGATTTATCATTTGAACAGGCTAGAACTGATAATCTCTAAACTTGCAAAAATAACTCTAAGACGTGGACAAAGGGCAGCTGGGGCAATGGGAGTTACCAAGGCCAATTTCACATTGGGAGGGAGGACAGAAGTGAAAAACAGCACCAAGCCAAAGCACAACTTCCGGATGAAGAGAGGAGAGGCCTGGAGCCGGCTGGCGGTGGGGCCCATCCTTATGGCCTTTTGAGATATCTCAGGGGGTTAAAGAAAGGAAGGCCAAGGTCAAAGGAGCCACACTCCTGCCCAGCTCCCCTCTGCCTCCAAGAGAGGAGCCTGAGATTCAAGGAGAGAATAAAAATGAGCCCCGAGACAATGGCACACATTTCCCACGGTATTGAATGAACTTGTACAGCACAAAACAATGGTAGAAGAAGTTCAGAACATACTGGCTGCGGAAATCTCTTCATCTTTCTGCTGGCGAGCTTGGAGGCCAGGCGCATTAGCGGGTGCACAGCAGGCAGCTGCAACAGAGGGACAGAGGGACAGAGGTTCAGGCAGGAGGCTGCAAGGGAGCCCCAGGGGGACTTGCAGGCCTAGGGCTGTGTGCGTTCCTTTTAACTCACTTCCCTTACAAATGGGTTTAATTTTCAGAGTAAAATCCATTTCAGAGCCAAGCCTCAGATGTTTTATGTTCTCAATAAAGACCTACCGCTTGCCTTGATAGCTGGGTTCCATTCCAACATGTCATGAATATTCCCAGAGGGTCAATGAGGCTTTGCATCAGCCCCAGCTCTCTGTGCTACTGGAATGAAGTGTGTTGTCTTAAAGAAGCAGCTCCTGGCAGATTCCTGCTCCCCAGATGGGCTCTCCTGTTCCACGGAGGAGCGGGAGGGCATCCTTATTTTCCTATACTTCTTGTCTGTGTCTGCTCCTTCATGCCAAGCGAATGCACCTGACCTTGTCTAGTCCTCATTAATCCTCCCTAGGTGCTTTGGTTTAGAGTCAACGTTACTCTTTGCTGGGCACCGTGCAGCATGCCTGTAAGCCCAGTGGCTCGGGAGGCTGAGGCAGGAGGACTGTGAGTTCAAAGCCAGCCTCAGCAAAAGCGAGGCACTAAGCAACTCAATGAGACCCTGTCTCTAAAGAAAATCCAAAATAGGGCTGGGGATGTGGCTCAGTGGTCCAGTGCCCCTGAGTTCAATCCCTGGTACCCTCCCCACCAAAGATAAACCAGGTTCTCCCTTTCTGATTTACTAACCTATACTGGGAACTCCTGGTAAATTAAAAGCCAGGCTGCTTTAAATTAACATTGTTAGAAATCTCAGATGGCTAGCAGTAAGTAGACCTTCACACAGAGCTTCTCTTTCGCCTTCCATTTTTCCGTCTCCCTCCTTGGTGCGATGGCCTTTGTTGATAACATCCCCTTCCTTACCTGATCCCCACTTGCTAGAACTATAATACTGATGAGTCTTTGCCTCTTAAGGAAAAAACATTTTGCTGAGTATTTTCCTTTTAAACTATCTTCTTGCAGATTGGAAAGGCTTCAATATATAAATGACTTTTTAATGGTGGAATTTCCAGTAACAGGGCACCCAAACTAAAAGTTATAGTCTATGATCTTCCCAATATTTCTCAAATCATAGCTCACAGAAATTCACCTACTCCAGCTGCTCCGGGGGTTAACTCAAATTTAGAAAAAGAAAGAGTTGATGGTTGATGGTTCTTATACCCATGACACATGCACACCCTAACAGTCCGGAAGATGCACCACCCTGAGTCACTGCTGGAGGAAGCATACTTTACACACCACAAAGCACTTTTCAAAATTTAAAAATAGAAAATAATTTAGAATAATGAAAACAGAGCACAGTACTTACCAAGTTCTTCTTGCACGTCTTTTTACGTGCATGACAAAAAAACTTGTTTCTTACTTTTCCTTTTCTGTAGTTTAGTGCCTAACTTTCCAGATCTGTCTGCTACCCTCCATCCCCCTCCCACGGAGGACGGAGACAATCCCTACAGCCTTGGGGAGCACCTCGGAAGACACTAACTACGAGGTATTTAGAGGTTCCCTGCTTTTCTGTTTGTCTGCACAAATATATTAATCCAGAAAAAAAAAAGGCATGTGGAGAAGTCACCTTTACAGAAGAAGATTATGATTGAAATACTGACCCTGGTTTTAACTGGATATGTCGGCTCCTGAGTTCTGGAGTAGTGAAACAAAAACTAAATAAGAAAAGAAAAGTTCTATCAGTATCAAGTGTCACTTGCTCAAATGTGGAAGCTGCACACCCTTGTCACTGGGGTGGAGGTTACTCACCCTTTTGAATATGTCTTGATTATCCTAGAAAGAGAATTGAGAGGGATTTTGACTGACCGGTTTTCCCATACACCTTAATGAATTTACTCATGCATTATGAAATATAGTGCAATCTAAAAAGTAATTCCTCCATTACACAAATTTAATAAGACTACAGTTGGTGCAGGATCTTATGATAAAGAAAGTTGCCAGCACTACATCATCATTTTAAAACAAGATCCCTTTGCAATCTTTCAAGGGGAAAACCTACTCTCTAATGCATGAAAGAAAGAATCTAATTGAGTCCCAGATGATTACTTGACTACGCAGTGAAATCAATTCACATCTGTAGCCTTTGGTTTGCTGCTGGTTATATCCTAGTAATCAATTTTTTAGGTTGGGTTTAAACTAACCAACTATTTTTGTTGTTTTCCAAAAGTTTTCTGCATGAATTTTCACTTTTCTTGCAGAAAGCTCAACTTTTCATTTTTAACTCCCTGTTAGTGCCTCACCCTGCCCTCGTCGACGAGGTTAGCAGGCATCTACATGACATATCTGACTCACTGGTGTGGTGTGAAGGCGTTTGCAAAACGCTGGTGTCTGTTTTCACATCCATACTTTATGAAATTGCTGAAGAGGACAACTGTGACATCACTACTGGGAACGATCTTTAAATACACTGATCCAGATAGTGTCCATCATTCGCATTATCCACAAACACTCTTGAATCAGCTCAAGCCTCAATCAAGACAGAAACTAAAGTTGTTAACAACACTTCTAATTTTATTTCTGTGAACGCAGTTACATCTTTCTGCAAACTTTGTGGAGAGATTCTTTGGTGCAAGCTGACGGTAGCAATGCATTCTCTGCCTCCCTCAGCCATGCACGTATATGTACATGCTTGCACACGAGCTTAGTGGGTGTACATGCACAGACATCCAATAGAACTAACCAGCATTATTAATAGCAGAGGCTCTGTGCAAATTTCCTACTTCTTTATAACCACCATTTCTTAAGTATGTTTTTATTGTCTACTACTTCTGGTCTTTGTTTATTTTGGGAACCAGGGATTGAACTCAGGGGCACATGACCACTGAGCCACATCCTATTTTGTATTTTATTTAGAGACAGGGTCTTTTTGAGTTGCTTAGCACCTTGCTGTTGCTGAGACTGGCTTTGAACTCATAATCCTCCTGCCTCAGCCTCCCAAGCCGCTGGGATTACAGGTGTGTGCCAAAGTGCCCAGCACTTCTGGTCTTCCTGTTGGTATCTGTTCACAGTAGTGTGCGTGTATGCATGCACATGTGTACACAAACAATTTTTATTTGTTCCATATTCATCAGCTTTACTCAATTACTTTTGTTTTTCAAGCTAAAAATGAGGAAGATGAGAATGGTTTTCCTGATTCTAATCATCCCTCCCCACATTTCCTATGTACCTTCCTTTCATTATTTACTTTTTATTTATTTTTCCAAGAAAAAAAAATCATGTATAAGATTTTACTCACCTATCTTTTCATTCATTTCCCCCAACTAAAATATACACTTTATGAGAGCAGGTGGTTTGGTTTATTTGGGTCACTATGTATCCCTGGCCCCTGGCATGTGACATGCTCTCAATAAATATCTTTTTTGACTGAATAGCAGGATTCAGTTCACAACAACCTTTTGCCCTTTTACCCACTTAACATCTAATCTCATGTGGTGACACAAGACATGAAGAGTGTCTGCAGGTGGCCTTACTTGTAGAATGTCATCACTGCTCTCTGAATTGCCTCAAGATAAAAGTTCCCTGGCTTCACAGACCTGGCTTCTTTTGGAAAACAGAACAGGCACGGGCACAGAGGACACAGAGCCCAGGTGACTCCGGTAGCCCTTGGGCAGCTGAGGGAGCCAAGCCCCAGGAAGGGAAGTGAAATGCTGAAGATCACGTCTTGGGGCAGCAGCAAGCCCAGGAAGAGCCACCATCTCTCCATATGAGTGAGATCAACTGTGGACAAAGGGAGACGCTGGAAGGAAAGTCATTCCAAGGGGGCCTTGCACTTAGGAACCCCACCACCCAGTTTAATATTGTGGGTAGCACAACCCCACAGCCTCTGCTTTTGCAGGGGAGACCCTCACGGCCTTGTGTGTGGGATAAGGAGCCCCCTTACTAAGGGGGGGGGGAGGCAGCACCAAGGACATGGAGAACTCCGAGTTCTCTCCTTGGAGTTTGGCTCCAGGAACCAAGGCTACAGGGACAGTCATGACAACTGTCTCCACATATTGCTAATGGCAAACTGGAGCCAAGAAGAAACAGGCATGATCATTCGTGAAGTTTGACCAGTAAGTGATAGTTGAGTCTTGAAGAAGGAGAATTACTTGCATCAAGAGGCCACGGTGCCAAGCACGGTGTCATGTGCTTGTGATCCCAGCAACTCTAGAAGCCAAGGTGGGGGGATTGCAATTCTGAGGGCAAATTAGTGATACTTTGTCTCAAAAAAAATACAAAGGGCCAGATGTGGCGGGACATGCCTGTAATCCCAGTGGCTTGGGTGGCCTAGATTGGAGGTTCAAAGTCAGCCTCACCAACTTAACAAGGCCTTAAGCAATTTAGCCAGAGCCTGTCTCTAAATAAAAAAATTAAAAGGGCTGGGGATGTGGCTCAGTGGTTAAGCACCCCTGGGTTCATCCCTGGTACCAAAAAAAAAAAAAAGGGCCAGGGTGTAACTCAGTTGTAGAGTACTCCTAAGTCTAATCCCAGTATCACAAAACAACTTAAAAAAGACAATGGTAACCACTTAATGATAAGTTATCATGTTTCATGTTCTGGTCACTGTTGAAAGCACTTCACATACATTAGACCAACTGATCCTCACAACATGTGTGCCGGTGCAACCATTATGTCCATATTACAGATGAGGAAACTGAGGCACAGAATGGTTAAGAAAACCCCAAGTTTGAACAGAGCTGGGCATCAAGCCCAGGTAGTTGGTTTTAGAGTCTGGGCTCCTAACTGCAGCCTGTGAAGGAGACAAAGGCATCTCTGGTGAAGGGAAACACCGTGCAAAGACATTGAGGGCCTGGTGCACCTGAGGACTCGTGAGATGCTGGCTGTGGCTGGAGCATGGTGTGTTGGAGGTGGGAGGTAAGGAAGCCAGAGATGTGGCTCCAGGTGAGGAAAGATGAACCAGGCTGAGACTCACAATTTCCCTTTTGAACTTTTGATTAGATCAACATTTACTTTGTATCCATTGATCTATTTTCGTTGGAGTTACTATTAGATCCTTTACATAAGATGTATTATTTTGGAGAACTGCTTTATCATATTATACAAATTTATAATGAATCATGATATGTGATTAATTTTATTGTATGTGGTTATGATAATTGTAATACACATGAACTACTAATAATTTTATGGTAGTTTATATTTAAGAGAAAAATTTGGTATTTCCTAAAACCCATATCCTTACACACACAAACATACACACCTAAATACACACACAGCATTCTCCTGTAGGTAGCAAAATAAGGAATTTATTGAAGATATAAATTGTCATGTAAGATCATGCACTTTTATAAGAACTATCAAGCTTATATTAGCTTTTTTTTTTTTTTACCTTAGGTTGGTTAAAGAGAGCTGCCCGCTGATTCAGACAATATACCAGCCTCTAGAGCAAAATGAGGGAAACAAATCAAAGAATGAATTTCTTGGTCAATAAAATTCTACTAGAACATATTTAAAATTCTAAAATTCCATTTATGAACACAGGATGATTTTCTCCTACAATGGCAGCGCATTTCAACCCAACCGTCAGCGTGCCTTAAATGGGACCATGGAAACAGCAGCAGTGAGTTCTTGCTGCAACAAAAAATCTGACCTTAAAATGAATTTAAGTGAACATGATCCACATGATATTTTCGAGACCCAGACTACATAAAAAATCTCACCGTACTAACAACAGCGTACCTCAAGCTGCACTGTGTTCAAACCATCTGGAGGCTCCACTGAAGGTTGAGAAACTCCTAGGATGAGAAATAATAAAAGCATCAATTAGAGAAAAGAGGTCACAGCACTTATTTTTATGCCTTTGCCATGAAAAACAAACAGAGATTTTATTGAAACAATAAACCCTCAAAGAACCATACAGTGGGGTCAATGGGAAGGTAAGATGTGATACAATGTTGTTAAGAGGATTTACAAGAAAACACAGGTCTACTTACCACTAGCCATCTGAGATTTGTCACAATGTTAATTTAAAACAGCTTGGCTTTTAATTTTCAGGAGTTCCCAGTATAGATTAGCAAATCAGAAAGGGGGGACCTGGTTTATCCTGACGAGGTACCAGAGATTGAACTCAGGGACACTCAGCCACTGAGCCACATCTCCAGCCTTATTTTGTATTTATTTAGAGACAGGGTCTCACTGAGTTGCTTAGCACTTTGCTTTTACTGAGGCTGGCTTTGAACTCCCAGTCCTCCTGTCTCAGCCTCTGATCCGCTGGGATCACCTATAAGGTGCCTGGCGACCTGGTTTATCTTTTGATGAAACTTATAAGGATAGACTATCAGAAAATGGTGTCAGCAGGGTCTGTACCTCAGACTCACCTGGAACTTTTGAGAGGTCAGACACCTGTCTCTTCCTGGTCAAGTCCTCCAGGGGTGGGGTTCTGGGAAAAGTTGGGGTCAGCATGAAGCTGGACTCCATCCAACTTTTAAATGAAAATGTCTTCCTATTTGCATGTGATAGGACCCGTGGAAGAAAAGCTAATACTACAGTGGAGAGAATCAACCGGGCAGGTCAAAACTAACCAGGTGAAATTCAATGGCTACATATCAAACCTCAAGTTTGGATTTTTCTAAAATGTGGGACAGGGAATTTACTCCCAAGAGAAGTTTACATTTTTAAAAAAGACTATATGGTATTTTGCTCCCTGCAATCTATTAGTCAAGAGAAAGCGAAGTTAGGTTATATTTAAATAATAGTGTTTAAGCCTTGAAAAGTACTAGTCTGGCTTGAAATGAGAGAATATAAGGTAGAGTTTAAGTAAAATAACTAATCATAAATTTCTCTGGAAAGAGAAAAAATTAAGATGTGTATATTAGCTGCCTTCAACTATTTTGAGAACTGCCAAAAGTAGGAAATCGTAGACTTATTTTATATATTACCAAAGAACAGAAATAGAGCTCAAGGCTAGAAGCTACATGTTATCAAATTTCAGCTCAATATAAAGAAGTTTTCAATGATGGCAATGGTTCAATAATGCAAAGAGATGGAAACCAATATTATAAGAATTTATTGAGATGGTTTGTATTAATGAAAAGATAAAGATCACCAGGGACAGTGGCACATGCCTGCATACCTGTAATACCAGCAGCTCAGGAGGCTGAGGCAGGAGGATCACAAGTTCAAAGCCAAGCAACTTGGTGAGATCCTGTCTCCAAATAAAATACAAAATAGGTGGTTCTGTGGCTCAGTGGTGGAGTGCCCCTGAGTTCAGTCCCGATACAAAAACCAAAAAAGGTGATCACAAATTTCCAAGGGATTTTCAACCGGGTAATATAAACAGGATTCTGTTGCAACATAGAAAACACAGCAGCTGGCTGTCTTAGGGTGGCAGTGAGTTGGAGGTCACTGAAAGTAATCAAATAGAATCTAAAAGACCTGGGGGAACTGCAGAGTGGAAACCTACACTCTGGGTGATGTCAAATCTGATGACCTCCACCGCTCCTTGCAATGCCCACATTTTGTGATTAAAAATTGGGGCATGGAAAAACAAGCATACTAATGTTTGGAATATGTTTTCCCTTTGAATAGATTTGCAAGATTTTCTACTCCTCTAAATCAAAATTTGAATGGAAAAAAATCTAAAATTTTGCAATAGTCCATGTTTCCCACCATAGTTTTTTCTGCCACAACACACTTCCCTGCATCCTGTGGAAAATTACTTGGAGATGCTGATAATGCATTAGGGATACAAACCCGGACCCCTCTGCTGGTTCCCTACAAATGCACTGGTTCTCGCCATATACCTGTCCTCAGTATTTGCCCAAGAGAATTAAAGCCAGCATGCTACAGGGACATGTCTTTATAGCAGCACCGTTCACAGTAGCCACGTTATGGAACCACGCTAGGCGTCCATCAACGGCTCAAGAAAATGTGGTATCTATACCCGATGGAGTTTTATTCAACCATAAAGAAGAACGCAACTATGGCATTTGCTGGAAAATGGATAGAATTAGAGAGCATTAGGTTAAGCAAAATAAGGCAGCCTCAGAAAGCCGAGGATCGTATATTCTCTGGCATGTGGAAGCTAGAGAGGCGCAGGGTGGGGTTTCATGAAATCAGGGGGTGTCGATTTCATGAAAACGGAAGAGAACAATAGATGTGGGCCAGGGGAAGGGAGGGAGGAAGGAGAGGTATAGGCCATGAAACTGACCAAATCATGCAAGTACGTGATCGAATATGCAACAACGAACCCACTATTCTGCGCAACCAGGACGCACTATTTAAAAGGAGGAAAAACACCCAGCAAACTGCTCTCGGTTCAAGTTGGTGAGAGGCGCCCGCGCGGGGCCAGCACCTCGGACAGCGACCCGCGCCGGGCAGACGCAGGGCCCGGGCTTCAGCTCTGCGCTCTGGGGACCTGCCCCGGGGAAAGGCTTTGAAAAGATTTCTTTTTTCCGCTCCTGTGCGCGCTCTTCCCCCGACCCCTCTCCAGCCGCCGGACCATTCCCAGTCTTTGGGACTCCAAACTCAGGGTCACCTCCTCGGTTCTTGTGTCTTAAGAATTCCAGGACCACAAAGCGCTAAGTGGGGTCTTCCCCAACCCACATAGGGCCATGCCTCACCCTTCACACCCCAATCGCAGCAGGACACCTCTGGGGTAGGAGCTGTGTACGCACAGTCCCGCGGCGGCATCTCCCCTTGTCCACCCTCCCTTAAAGGGTCAGAAATAAACTGAGCCAAGGATCGCACCAAGGATCGCCAGAAAGCAGGAGGGCAGAAAGAGGGGTAGGTAGGTGGAGGAGAGAAACTTGACCCCCTCCTGAACTGCCCTGAGGGTCAAGGTCAGTCTCAGTGTTGCTGAGAGGCCATGGTCCCCTTACCTGAGGAAGGGATCTGCAGCATGCAGAAGCAGTAGACGGCCAAGACAGGAAGGAACTGGGGAAGAAGACGAGGCATCGTTACCGCCTGGCTTCTCCCTGCTGGCCACAGACGTGTGCTGCTAGGACAAGGGTCCAGCATTTCTCCAAGTTCCCCAGGCGCAGGCCACCCCCGCCCCGTGTCTGACCAGCCCAGTCAGTAGGTGCCTTTACTTGCAATATCCTGGAGCCCATTGGCTGAGCACCGATCAGCTTTGACGCAGGAGGACCCTGACTTTCTCATAGATGTCACGCTGGGCCCTTATTTGTAGAATAATATCCTCCTGGTGTAAGCATTGTAGAGCGTCATCTTTTCCAACCGGCAATAAAAATAAAAAGTGGAGAGTCATAATTGTTAGGCTATAATGGCCTGAGGAGCACTTCTGACTCAGGAAGGGCCTTTTCTCTATTTTTTTAATCAAAGAAATGGACATAAATCTACAAGCTCTCATGCATGCCGAAATCTTACTTCCTAGGAAGGAGTTTATTTTCCACCACTAACAAAGGGTGTTTTGTATCCTTTGATGCACCCAAGGAAGACAACATCTGGAGTCCTGGATGTCATATTTCAGGAAGCCAAAAGTTCAGTTAGAGTTCGGTTGTCCTTCTTTCAATCACAGTTAGAAATTGGCCTCTTTAAGGTTTTTCCCGATTGGTTTCTACGAACAAGCTAAATATTTCTAATTGTCGGTATTCAAGAAAGCCTGGTGATGTTGTTATTTAACAATAATAAAAATAAAATTACCCCGTCTGCTGAGTTCCTCCATGTTGGGATCTGTTTTAAGCATTTCACATGGATTGCTCCATGCAGTTCTCGCAGAAAATGCATGATAAAAGGGTTGTTGTCCTCATTTTAGGATGACGAAACTGAGGCTAGGAGAGATTAAGGAATTCAACTATCAAGGAGAAGAGCAGGAATGTGAACTCAGAGATGCCTGGGCCCAGTCACATCTGTAAAGATTTTAGTTAAAAATGTTGTGTTGTTTTAAGTTTCCTTAGGGTTAGATATAGGACAGAAGGAAGGAAAATGAACTCTTCTATATCTTGCAAAAATAGTAATGAAATAGTACACATGAAATAGTACCCCACCCCCAGGTAGGCCCACCTCTAATTTTTGCCCATTTTGAGACTAGGGGGTAAGTAAAAACTGTTGAAAGATTTTAGTGCCTCAAACACGTTAATATTATGTGTGTATGTATGCATATGCACACACACACGTTTTAAAACTTTTTTTTTTTTTGGTCATTTTTAAGTTAGTTTACTTTGCCTAAGTCATGTTATATAATTTTTTAAATAAATGGACTTTTAAAAAATAATTTCAGGTGACGGTTGCTCAGAAGAGATTATTTATTTGTGATTTTAAATGTGGTATTTCTGAAAAAAAAAATCAATTCATAACACAGAGGGAAATTTGAATTATTTTACAGCCATGATAGTTTGCCTACTTCCTTGAGCTACCAAGAAATAGTGATGTCTATTTGTTACAGTATTTAGCACTTAGGTTCAAGGAGAACCAACCAAATTCTTTATGTCCTAGGTCAGAGATTTTGCCATTTGTATTAAAATATACCCACCGCCTAACAGCAGATCTTTACCGAATCCAAAGAAAACATGAATGACTGCTTCTGGAACATAAATCACTTACCTATGTGATACCAAACACAATTACTTCAAACATTTTAGATGACACACATAACAGCAAAGTTATTATGGTAGTTCTAGTAGGTATTAATCAAGTTCTTCTTGAACATCTGGTCTAGGTCCACCACTAACTGCTGCTGTATATACAAACACACATTTTTTTCAAATAAATATCTGTGACAACTACAATTTGTATCAAACTTAGGTTTCCTTTACATTTTGTCCACATTATTTCTTGGCTATTTAGGACAAAAATAAAAGTTTTATTTTTAATGTTAATTCAGAAAAGGAAAAATATAAGGAAAAAATCTGCATTGTTACTATTCAAAAACATTGATAGGACCATGCTGTGTCCCCAGAGAATCTGTAGGTTAAAGTCCTATACCCTAATGTGACTGTATTTAAAGACAGGGCTTTCAAAGAGGCAACAAAGGTTAAATGAGGTCTTAAGAGTAGACTCTAACTAAAGAGGACTGGGGTCCTTCTAAGAACAGAAAGAGACCCCAGAGCTCTGTCTCTCTCCTGGCTTGTGCACAGAGGAAAGGATCTAGAGGACACAGTGAGGAAGGATTCTGTCTGCAAGCCAAGAAGAGAGACCTTCTGGAAACCAACCCTCTGGCTTCTTGACCGTAGACCTGCAGCCTCCAGAGCAGTAGAAAATAAATTTCTGCAGTGAGAAAATAAATCTCAGAATGAAAATTAAAACTACACTGAGATTCCATCTCACTCTAGCCAGAATGACAATTATCAAGAATACAAGAAACTCTAAATGTTGGCGGGGATGTGGGGAAAAAGATACATGCATACATTGCTGGCATAAATTGGTGCAACCACTCTGGAAAGCAGTATGGAGATTCCTTAGAAAAACTGGAATGGAACCACCATTTGACCCAGCTATCCCACTCCTCAGTTTATACCCAAAGGACTTAAAATCAGCATATTACAGTGATGGAGCCACATTAATGTTTATAGCAGCTCAACTCACAATAGCTAATCTATGGAACCAACCTAGGTGCCCTTCAACAGATGGATGGATAAAGAAAATGTGGTACATATACACCATGGAATAGTACTCAATCATAAAGAAGAATGAAATGATGGCATTTGCCAGTAAATGGATGGAACTGGAGACTATCATGCTAAGTGAAATAAGCCTTTGATAAGAGGATGCTAACCCACAATAGGGGGAGGGGAGTAGAGGTTCACTGGAATGGATGGGGGAAGGTGGAAGGAAGGAGGGGAATGGGAATAGGAAAGACAGTAGAATGAATCAGATATAACTTTGCTATGTTCATATCTGAATACACGACCAGTATAACTTCATATCGTGTACAACCACTAGAATGGGATGTTATATGCCATGTGTATATATCAAAATATACTCTACTGTCATGTATAATTAAAAAGAACAAATAAAAAATTTAAAAAAAGAAATCTCAGTCTGTGGTATTTTGTTATGGTGCAGAACATAATAATACAAAATATTCTGCTTAGAAAGCAGAATAATACAAACATAAATGATTTTTAACCAATTCAATACATAAATAAATGAAAAATAAACTTGGAAACTCTCCTTGTTTCCAATGCTTTAAATGCTATAAAATACCAAGAACTAAATGGGATAATAAATATGCACCACATTAAAGAAGAAAACTAAAAAATTTTCCTGAAGAACTGAATATTCATTTATTCTTGAATAAATGAAAAGGTGCTTATTGTCTTAAACAAGGTTCAGTCTTGTTAAAAGTATAATTAAGTATGAATTTATCTATAAATCATGTATGATTCTTAATGAAAATCCAAAATCACTTTTTCATGGAATTTTAAAACTGAATCTAAAATTAATTTGGGAGAGAAAATATTCAATAATATTTGACAAATTTGGGGGGAAACCCCCTGAGATTTTGTCAATGCCAAAATGAATTATAAGGCAGTGGTAATTGTGGGAGTGATTTTTGTTGTTGATCCAGTAACAGGTCAATAGATCAAGAGAATGGAGGAGAGTCTCGAAGCCAATTAATTTAGTACGAAAGAAAGGTGGCATTTCAAATCAGCAAAAAGAGTGAACTGCTCAATTAATGGACTTCAGGACAATTGGCTAGATCATTTAGCAAAAAATGTTTTCCCTATTTCACACTCTAAATTAAAATAAATCCCAGAAGATTAACACACTACAAACTAAACCCAACACTCTCTCTCTCTCTCTCTCTCTCTCTCTCTCTCTCTCACACACACACACACACACACACACACACACACACACACACAGTACATACGGATTTTCACATTGTCTGTATATTATGCTGGTTGGACATTTCCAGAAGCCTTGCTGGCTGCAGGGAGACCAGCCTTCCCAGGGCTAGACAAAGACTCGGCTAGGAGCATGCCTGCTATAGGTTAGATCCAGAGGGTCCCCAGAGGCTTGATTCCAGTCTGAGGAGCTACTGGGAGGTGGTGTGACCTTTTGGTTCTAGGGTCTAGTGGGAGGAAGTTAGGCTATTGGCAGTGTGTCCTTGAAAGGGACATAGGAGCCCCAGTTCCTTCCTATTTCCCTCTTTGCTTCCTGGTCACGTTAAGTTAACTTCCTCTACCACACACTTCAGCCATAAGGTACTGCCTCACCCTAGGCACAAAACCAGTGAAGCCAAGTGACCATGGAGAAGAACCTCTGAACCCATGAGGCAAACAAAACAAACCTTTTTTTTTCTTTTAAATTGTTCCTCAGGTGTTTTGTCACAGCAACAGAAAGCCAATGCAATGCATTCCATATGCAAACTCACAATCCAGAGATGGAACTCCTCTGTCTGGTCTCTGTACTGCAGGAGCCAATGTTCCTCTGCTTGAGTCCTCCCAGAGCCAGGTACCAGGGAACTAGGTGCCACTGCTCTAGCCCAAAGCCTGGGAAGTTATTTAAACGAGACACTCCTAAACCATTCACCAGCTCCGCCTTGCCTTTCCCGTGGGAACCCCCAGTGGTAGTATTGGCATCAATCTTCCCTTTGCCCCTCCTTTCTGCCTCCATGTGTCATGTGTCTTTCTCATGCTGTCCTTTGTAATGTGGAATGTCACCAGTCTCTAGGACCTATCAGAGCAGATGCTGATGGACGTACGATAGAGTTACAACTCAGCAAACCCTTCATCTGTTAAAAACCTAAGCTGAAAAGGCATTGAACGCACCTCAGCTCCCAGGCATCAGAGCTCCGCCCCATAGCACTGGGGTGTCCTTGTGTCTGCCCATGATTGTGAGGCTGCCTGGCAGCTCAGTCTTCCTGCTGTAGCCCAGCACTGCCAAAGAGAACTGTGCTGCATGTTGAAAAGATCAAAATCCAAAATTGGAAGCGGAGTTCTCAATGGCTGCGCCTTGCCCCCGCACCATTGTAAAGAAATCATAAGTCAACA